TGGGCTGTCGTGGGGGTGAGGAAGACACTGAGGCTCCGAGCGGTCCTGCAGCTCAGATGATGTAACCCCAGGCAGCCGTACTCCAGAGCCCAAGTTCTTAAGCCTGGCCTGGGAGCAGGGAGAACTGGGTCCAAGTCCCGCCTCTGCCATTTTGGAGGGTGTGACCCTGACCCGGTCCTTAATCAGTCGGGTCCTTGGTTTCCTCCTACATAGGTGGGGGTGGGGGTGTGACCCCTCGGGGCTCCTGTGGCCTTGATCGCACTGTGGGCTGGCTGGCTGTGGCCATGTTCCGTGCCGCCTCCCCACGAGGAGGGCTGCCCCAGGCTGGGCAGCTGCAGGGGGTGGGGAAGGAGCTTCCACGTGCCAAGCCCTGCACTGGTTTTCGGACTAAGACCAAGGGAGCCACAGGATGTTCTAGAAACTTAAGGTGGCCCTTGAAGGAGGAAGAGGATGCTCAGGAAAGAGTGATGGGAAAAGGGCTTCCTCAGCTAAGGAAAGAACAGGTGTAGAGGTTGGGGCAAGCTCGGGGCTGGAGCAGACTGGGGGTGCGTCAGGAGGCCAGGCCAGAGGGGCCAGCCCCCTTTCTGTGTTACTGCCTCCCAGTGGCTGGGATTTCACCTCCTTACAGCTCTGAGATGTACCCCGATACAGTGCCATCACCCCACCCTGCTTCGGGCCCCTACCACCCGTCACCACTGCCATCGCTACCCCGCTGGTCCCCACGGCCACCGCTGCCCCCCCTGCAGACTGAAGCCAGCGGGACCTTCCCAGAAGCCATCTGTGATAATCTCAGGATCTGCCCTTGCCCCGTTCTACCTTCTTTTCTGAACCTCCTTGGTGGGGGTCCAGGTGTCCTGTGGCCCCGGGGCCCTCGCACAAGCTGTTCCTGCTGCCGGGGGCACCCTCCCTCAGGGAAGCCCCTAACCTCTCCCCGACAAGGTGACGCCCTCCTCTCTGTTCCAGCTGGCAGGGCCCGGCCTCTCTTCTGTGGCACCTGGAGCCCCATCGTCTGACACCAGCAGGGACAGGAGTGACACACGGGTCAGCGCACAGCCTGCTCGTGACGGCTTTCTGAAGGAGGGACCGTTAGAATTCCCATTTGCCAGAAGTGTAAACTGAGCTCAGAGAAGTGAAGCCACTTGCCCGAGGCCGCGCAACAGGTAAGCGGCCGAGCCAGCTTCCTCCCGAGG